GGGCGGGTCGGAGCCGGTCCTGTGTCCGCGGAGCCCCGCGGGCCGGGCGGGGGGCTGCGGGCCCGCCTCGCCCTCTGCCCAAGTACCGGTGATGCTTCATCGCCCTAACGCTTCTTCTTACCTACGCGCAGCCGTGAGTACGGGAGTCCTTGCCTCTACCGCTGAAAATAGCGGTGCTGCTAGAGCCTTGAAGTTGTGTGCCGATTGCTAGAAGTCTTTTAAACTAAATGTGGTTTACTAACTGAGGATTTTACAGGGAAAAATAAGGTGAAGTGTCATGGCCTTTGCTATCAATCTGTAGCTATATTTACGTTTACCCTTCAGCTAGTTATTTCAGGTATCTATAGAGTAATTTTTTTGAAAAATAGCCCTATCTGTTTTGCAAAAATTGTCACTCAGTGTGGCAGGGTTGATTTAGTGTTGGTAAGGTTATAATAACTTAATTAGCACCACATTCTTAAATTGAGTCCTTGCTGAAAATCTGGAAAATGCTCAAAGTGGTGTTCCGGTTTCTAGGCTTTCTGCTTCAGTGTTGGCTTGAATGTCATATAGCGGATTTTATGGAATACAAAAAAAGAAAAAATAGGAGTTAGGATTTAACTGAAGTAATTGCTGACGATTCAATGCTTTCCTTCTGTGTTTGACAGATGCTGTGTCTGTTTCCAACATGTGTTATGTCATAGGACATGCAGCATCATTGACTAGTTCTGTGGTGTTGATGAAACTGATGTAATTTCCATAGTTCTAAGGAATTAGCTTGATTGTAGTATTATGAATTGCTTTGTGGTAAAAAAAACAATGGTCAAGGTACATACTGATGTGCCTGAAGGACCATTGAACAAATTACTTTGTAAAAAGTAAGGAAATGGTTATTTGTGTGTGTGCATGGAAATTCCTAACTATACTCCAGCAATTGATTTTAAATTAAAAAGTAGTTAAAAGTCATTCGTGCTCTCTGACCCTTCAGGACAAGGAAACGTTAGAAGAACAGGCTTCTTGATAGAGCAACTAAAAATTCTAACTCATCTAATGGTAGCAATATGTTAAATAGTAGATAGAAGTAGGTTTTTTTTCACGATGCTAAAGCAGGACCAGTACTGTACAGAGAAGTTGTTTAGAGGAGAAGGAAATACTTAAAAAAAAAAAAAATACTGTGCTGTTTTAGTTGATTTGTTTGAGTGTTTGTGGAAGAAGTGTATATTTAGGATTGTCAGGAGTGAAGTGAGTGCCTGGAATTGTTGTGTTTAGGATTAAAGTTATGATTATATAACAATAGAAATTTACTGAGGCATGGTGCATTTCACAATTGCACAAATTTTTCTCTCCATTTCTGGTTAATGGTTATCCTTTGTGTAGCAGTGCATTGAAGTGTAACTTAGGTAAATCATTATCTTTTTACTTGGAAGGAATTAGTGGCCTTTTATGTTTTGAAGATGCTTGTGCTTTTCTGTGCTGAGGTGAGGAGATAAATGAGAAAGCATTAAGAGTATACTGTCTGAACAGTTTAAACTTGGGCCACACTTCAAAACTTTCTGACTGCAAAGGAAGGAAATTTGAAGTAGGAGTTAGAGTGTTTAGTTAATTTTAAAGGAAAATGATGCTTTGATAGCAGAATTAAGCCGTTTTTCAAATGGTTTATTACTCTCTTCTGCCTTGGTGTCTCATGCTGTTCTTTTGCTTACTGTGTTTTTCCTACAGGGTCAGCCACTGATGTGTTTCACAACTGGCACAGAGCTAGGGCTGGTGCTGGTTGGCAGTAAGTGCTCAGAAAAGAGGTGGCTGAGCGACTGTGTGCTTCAGTGCACCCCTGTCACTGGAGGGATTGTTCTGCAGTCGCAGTCTGGAGCTTGTGTATTGATCAACCACAGTCATGAGTGATTATCTCTTAATATCTGGGACGTGAAAGTCTAGCCAGGTGGAGGAAACTTAAAATCATTTGGTTTTCAACAATAGGCCCGTGAACCAGTTTGTGTGACGTAAGGAGTGGGAACAAATAGCTCACTAGTTAGAATCATATAATATCTTAACTTGGAAGGGGCTGAGAAGGGACCCATGAGTTACTCCATGGTGGTTACCCATATGCGTAGTTTACTTTGCAGGAAACTTCAGTTGTTTGAGGTGATGCATTAAGTTAGAGAAGGTTGGTTATCTGAAGTGGAAGAAAATACACTTGGGCAGTTAACAGAGGAGTTAATTTCTGTCTTTATACCTAAGGTTATTTCTTTACCTTTAACTTTTTAAACAAGAAAGAATTGGGAAAACAAGAAAGTTACAAGTGGTAGTGTTACAAAGGAAGACTCCAGAAAACAAGTTTGCAAGAGATCTGAGCAATGATTTAGTGGTGTGAACTTCAGCTTTATGTCACTGGAATGAATATTGATTGAAACTTTACATGTAAATATTAGGTTTTTACTACTCATTAAACTACACATTGTTTTTGTTTGTTTTAAAATAAATACCTGTAAGGGTTACAGTGGCTTTGGCCTACTTACTAGAAGTGGATCAGTAATATATGAATCATCAAAATCACTATCCAAACAAACTCATACAGGAAAAAACTGTTCAGTTCATGCAGTTTAAAGCAAATAATGATTTAAATGATTTATTAACAATACATAATTAACCAGCAGTCAGTGAATGATATAGCTGTGATCAGTATCAGCAACATGATAAATCACAATACTAGACATACACAGAATGTTAATACACCACTGCAAACTTCAAAATGCCCGTTTGTAATCTCCACAAGTTCCAATCACACTCAATATGTGTGCCCCCCACCCAAGGAGAGGAAGGTTATAAGCACACCCTACCTGTTCTCCTTCTTTTATACTTCTGTTGGAGCTGATTTCTTCTTTGCTTTAGAACTCTGTAATTTTCTGACACGTCCTTCAGCTACTGTTCTTCGTCATCTTCAATGGGATTAATATTGACAAGCCACTATCTCAGACAGTTTTGGGTGAATGCTTCATACCTAGCATCGATACTTGCATTCTTCTCTTAACAGCTGTTATCTAGGCTGTTTTACTAAGGGAGTGTTATGCAGCCTTTTCCTCCCCCCAAACATGTGCAGCAATGTACCATGCAACGTCCACCCTCCCCCAGTAGTCACTAAGACTTTGGCAAAAATCTGAGTTTACTATTTGTGAGCGTGTTCTTGTGTCATGATAAATGCTCAGTAGCTTTTCACCTATCTGTCTTGATAAGCGATTTCCATCTTTTGGATGTTGTGCGAACACAAGAGTTTCTATTTTTAAAGTTCAACATTTCTGGTTATTACTGGCATTTATTGTAGTAGTCTGTCACTTCTGAAGTGTTACCAGGAGGTGGTAATGTCAGACCTTGTCAGTGAGTGTCGAAGCTTAAGCTGAACCTCCTTGTGCTGACAGCCTGAATTTTCATAGTTATAATTTCATATTTTATTTCCTTTTGCAAGACTACTCTGCACAAAGTCTTTTTTAGAAGCCATATGAGTTGACTAGACACAGGTCAGTCAGCCTTCGGCTTACTTACCTACAGCCATTAAAATGCTGAAGACCTGTATGTGCTTGATGGCTTTTTGGTCTTGAAAGTCTTTGGTCTGATCATCAAACGATCAGCATGCTTGTACTGTTTGTGCACTGAATCACTTGGGATCATGTATCCATGAACATTTTGATCTTACAGGAAGTTGTTCTTTAAAATAAAGAACAAGTTGCTAATGTTGCTGGGAGTGAAAATAGCTTTTAAGAAGCCCGAAATAGAGCTTAGTAAATTTAGGAGGACTTGTCAGTACATTAAGGGTTAGATCCACTCAGTATATTGCATTCAGCCTAGCTGCTTTGAGTAATGTTTTGGAGAAGTGGAATGTCTGATGAAAATGATTGACTGGGAAAGGTAGCTTGGTTTCTTTGCTGGGAGGCAACAGGGGGGAACAGTAGAGCACAGGACATGCTTCTCATGTAGCTCCTTCCATACTAAGTTATGTGACGTTCTGGTTACGATCAGCAGAAACCTTCTGGGTTAGATGTGATGTAAATGAAAATGTAGCAAGTAACAAAAGCACAGCAGTCTTCTCACTCTTTGGAGCTCATGCCTGAGATGTCTTCTGCTTATGTGTGTTTCTGAATGTAGATCTTTCATTGCTGAGATTCATCAGTGCTGAGCTAACACGAGGTTACTTCCTTGAACACAATGAAGCGAAATACACAGAGCGGAGAGAGAGAGTATACACATTCATGCGGATACCAAAAGAACTGGAAAAGGTAAAGTATACTTTTAAGACTTGTTTTAATTTAGAGATGAAATCTGATGCTACAAAAAAAAAGATTTAAACATCTATAATGATTAATTTTCAGTGTTAGTGACTTAAACATTTGTGGGGTTTTTTGCCTATGTTTGCTTGTTGCTGCTGGCAACTCATGTTATTAGCAGAGACAGACATGACTGATTTTCAGATGATGGCAAATTAATTCAAATATAAAGATGTCACTGATCCTTAAAGGAATACTCAAGCAAAACAAAATTTTACAGCAAAATGTAATTTTAAATTTTTTTAAAAAAATTGTTTTAAAATTTTTTCCAGTCTAAAATGTTTTGAGGGTGGGAAGTTTTCAGTCCTTTAAAAATACAATGATGGATGAATTTCTGTCTAAGGTTTTTGACTTAATTTTCATAGCCTTTTCCTTTGCTTTTTGCCACTGTTTACCACATCTTCCCTCTCTGTCCCAGTGCTGTGGACCTTCCTGAGGCATTCTTGCCACCTCCTTTATGTCAGCTTAGATATAACTCTGGCCTTACAGTAAGCCAATGCCAGTGCTGTAATGTGGAAGAGAGTTTTATTCTGACTTAACCATTTTGATTTGGGAAGCAGCAAGAATATGCTCAAGGATGATGAGTAAGGCAACATTGGTAAAAAGGTTTGGTTAGGCTGCAGTGTAACAATAACATTGAAAGTAATATTGCTGAAATTCTCAAAACTTCTAGGGATGAATTTACATGGTAGGGCTAAATCAGTTTAACTCTAATTTATATTGAAGGAAGAGTCTTGTTTCACTCTTCTCCCACTTCAGTCTCCTGCCTTATACATGCTGCCTATTTTGCATGAGCTGTGGTGCTTATTGGACCATTCTAAGAGTTAAACGAGCCCATAATTCCTTAGTGAACGCTTCACTTTTCTTGCTTTGTTTGTTCTTTGCTAGAATAGTGAGCTGAATTGCTCAACCAGTATTCTGGAGAATCCAAGCCTACACAAGGGCAGAAGGGGAGCTGTATAACTTGGAGTAGGGGTAGAAAGATGAAAGAGCAGTGGTGGAGGGAGGAAGAGTAGGATTCCTTTTGTCAGCAACACTCAGGTTCCCCGCTCAGTATCATTAAATTCATTCTTGGAGCATGATGAGACATGGTTCTACGAAACGAAATTCTCAGTTACAGCAGAAAATCACAGAATGAATGAGATTGGCATGATCCTCTGGAGGTAATATAGTCTAAGCCCTTGCTTATAGCTGTGTCACCTACAACAGGTTGCTCAGGACCGTGTCCAGTTGGACTTTGAACATCTCCAGGGATGGTGTCTTTACATCTTCATTGTTTACCCATTCCAGTTTACAGCAGAATATTCCAGTTATGGTAGAGTCTCAGTGTAACAATGTAGCAGTTCTACATGGTCTCCGTTGTAATTGTGTAGACTATTACATGCCACCTCCAAGCCACAGAAATTATTCTGAAGGATCATCACCATAGATTTCTCATTAAACTTTCAGTGTGTAAGAACAAGTGAAGGCCAACAGTCTTTTATAAATAAGATCAATGCTGTAAGTGGCAAAATTGATGTTTTTTGCATAGTAAATCAAATTTCAGTCTGTACTTTGAATATGAAAGCATATGAAACTGAGTAATAAGCAGGTAGATTTAAAAAGTGATAGTTACCTTTTTACAAAGAGATTGTGAAATAAATTTGTTAGTTCTTTGCATGGACTTAGTCCAGGTTAGTATACATACTAGCTATATCAAATTGCATCATACTCATTGAAAAAATTGAAAAAGTATGATGATGAGCACCCAGAAAGCAAACTAAGTAGTGTACAGGTATTGCCTATTGCAGGAATCACTCGACTGTGTGATTCGAAAGCCTGCTTAATTGAAATAAAGCATGTGAGACACTAGGAATGGAACAGAAGAATTTTCTTAATGGCTTGTATTGTTTACTACCTAATAATATAATTACAGACTAGGAATGAAAATCATAATCAGGTAGAGTGAGAATAAACTGAAGTATATTTATCAAAGACTAATCTCAGGAGATATTCTTTAACATGCATGTATGTAATTTCAGAGTGAGGTGTGATGTCAAAAGGGTAGTATTTTTGTTGTTGTCCTGAATACCCCTTTTTTATTTAGAGAAGATAGTTTGTAGTATAAATGCTACTTCTACTCGAGCTTTTTGTGTGATTTCAATGGAAGCTCTTCATTGTAATAGGTTATTTATATAGTTTGTAGTATAAATGCTACTTCTACTCGAGCTTTTTGTGTGATTTCAATGGAAGCTCTTCATTGTAATAGGTTATTTATACTAAATGAAAAGTTGGTTCCTATTCCTGCCATTTTAAAGGAACACTTGCCAATCAATCTCAAAATTAAACTTTGTGCTAAGATACGGTTATGATGACAGAAAAGCTGTGTAAGCTTTTCTGTTAGCTCCTCAGTATCTGGAGTGTAGTAGCAAAAATAATGTTTACAGAAATGAGTGGAAAGTTCAGTGCTGATTATATTTCAGTGGGTGCATGTAAATATGTAATGGGTGCAATGTAATAAAAAAATAGGAAAATGAGGACATTAAACAATAATTGCAAATATTAACACAAGCTTATAGAATGTGAAAAACCATGATTACACTCAGGCAGAGAAAAAAATCTGCCTAAATGAAAAAGAAAATGCAAGGTTGTTTTGTAGATTATAAAGATGCCCTCAAAGAATACAGGGGCAAAATGACAGGCTTTCTGTTTTAGGCTTGAGTTAAGGAGTTAAAAAAAAGAAAGATACGTGTTCAGCTCCTGTCACCATCAGTGCTTGGATATTCAGCACCTGTTTTAAAAGTTAGAAAAGAAATACGTAATTTAATGGCGTATTAAAATGCAATGCATAAATTCATCCATTATTTGTAACCACTGAGTGAAAAAAAGGTACATAGCAGTGATAGTGGCTCATTGGACATTGAACTGGCTGTTGTGTAAGCTGACAAAGAAGGTATTTTGGAAGGCAGAGAGGTTGTTTGAGATAGAAGTAATATACTTGTGCTTTGGTTTACTCCCATTCCCCCTCCCCCCCCCCAGTATCTTCCTTTCCTGTCCGCAATACATACAGCTTTCACATGTAAATGCATATCTGTCATGGATGTCTAAACCTGTTTAGATATTGTTAGTCTTAATTGTGTAGCCAGTGAAGCTTGCCTTTTTACATGATTTTCTTTGCAGGAAAAAAACACTAGCTTCTGGTCTGACAGAAGTATAAAACCATATACCTGTAGAGTTCCATTCAGGTAAATCTTAGATCTATGTTCAAAGAGCAGATAAAGAAGGAATGTCATGTGGAGAGTCTGGTATTAGAAGGGCTTTCTACTTGCAGAGTTTAGGTCTAGTTTAATTATCATAGAGTTGCTTGGCTTGTGGCTATAATGAAATGGCTTTAACTGTTTCTATAAATTAAGGATAAAGCATTTTAACAGAGGGCAACTGGAAGTTTACCTCTTCATATTTTATATTCTTCTTTGTATGAAAAAGGCGGGTGTTAATTGAAGGAGAGCTACCATAGCTGTAATTAGCTGTGCAATAGAAAATTAACAAGGTTAAAAAAAAAAATTGAGGGGGAGGAAAAGGAGATAGGCAGAAAATGGCTGTGCACATGTACACATACTCTATGTTTTTTTTTTCCTAAGGCTAAAAGCATTAACTTTTGTAACCTTAGAGGAAAGTCTCCTCGAAGTAGAATGAGCTACCGTTATATCCAAGTGCAATTCATCTGTTCAATAAAGACTGAGTTCGGTGAGCCATGGAAGTCTGCAAAAGCTTTTGCTACTTGGACCTTGTGGTGCAGAATTTTTGCTGAATAGTCTTCCAAGTGCATAGCATGTTACTTTTCTTACAGGTCAGCTGATTGAGCAAGTGAAAGTATTGTGCTTATTTCGCTAGTCTTATGTAAATGTATTTTTCATGAAATAATATGATTCTTTATAAACTTTCTGTAACTCTTTATAAACTACTGACATACTTCTGTTTTATTTTTGGAATTCAGTTGATGTTTTTTGGAATCTTTTTGTGCCTGGATGCTTTTCTGTATGTATTCACCCTGCTTCCTTTGAGAGTTCTTCTGGCAATGTTCCGGTTCATCACTTTGCCTTGCTATGGCTTACGGTAAGTTGAGAGAAGAGAAAGGTGTTGATACCCTTAAATAATGTTTCTCTGTTTATGTGTGTGCTTAATTTTATAGCCTTTTAGTGCTGTTTGAACTACTAATGACTTCTTCCAGTGTAAAATAGAAGTTTTGGTCTAAACTAGCCAAAGCACAGGTGTGAGGCCTTTAAGCTTTGCCACCAGTCACTAACTGTCATTGTTGTTTTCTTCAGACACAACAGTTTGATAACAGCACCGCTTAGGCGTATTCAGGTTAGTAGAGGACAGAGATGTAACCTTATCCTATAGTTTTGTTCTTTTAAGTAACATTTATTTGAACAGTGCTTTAAGTTTTCTGAGACTTGAGTTAATGACTTAACTCATGACTTTCAATAGACTCTTTGATATTGAAACAAAATTTTGTTGGTTTTTTTTTACAACAAAAGTTTTTCTTATTTCCATGGTAAACTTTGCCCAAAGGATCCCTATATAAAATGTGTCATTTTCTTTCCTTCAAAGAATCTTAGGGAGTAATGGGATGAGACTGACTAATCGAATAACGTTAAGATATTTTAGATCTTAACCTCTGACTTTTTTTGTTCAGATCACTACTAAGAAGTTGTTGCTAATACATAGGATTTTTGGTTTACCTTTCTTATGTAGGTATCAAAAATTAATGTCCTTCATAAAAGATGCTGCTTCGTGGTAAAGCTGATCATGTAAGCCTTAAGTGTAGCCTAAAAGAAAAGAAGTCTTTTTATTGATGTTGTAATTTTTTCTTGAATAAATAAGGACTTCAGGGTTTTCATTCTGGATTTCCCCAAAGTTGAAGTTGATTTATGGTAGTTGATTTCTTTTTTTTCAATTAAGTTCTTGCATTTGTATTATTAATAGTCTTTTATATGTGAAATGCCTTTAGATGCATAGTTTAGAATGTATGTTCTGATTAGAGTGAATGCTAGTCTAGTGGCATAAGAAATAATATTTAAAGTATGATCTTAAGTTTAAATGTTAGTACTTGGGTGATGCTTAACATAGGCACTAGGTGGCAGTCTCTAATATTTTTTTGCGCTATTAATTGAGCTGAATCTCAGACTTTCATTACGTTAAGAGAGTTTTCCTAGTTGTGTTTTAAAAAAAAGGCAGCTATTTAGTTTCAGCCTGATGACAAGTCAAATTATGTGCCTATTTGTAAATATTTGTATGATGCTATTGCTAAAATATTAAAATTCAGGTAAATGTAATGGATTTTAACCTATCGTTTGGATCTTCATACTTTTTTCTATTTAAAGTGTTCTTCATTGTTTATAAACTCAGCTTTGATTTTCACAAACAAGTTTGCTGTTCTGGAATGAAAATTTAAAAATTTGAGACACCATTTGCTGGTTTTGGGTATTGTTCAATATACTGAAGAAAGTGATGTTGAAAATACCATATACACTCACACATGTGGGTGTATATGCGTATATATGTACACATAACTGCAGTGTTAAAACTTAGTCTGCTTAACAATATTCTTAGTGTGTGAGGCAAGATAGAATCCAATTAATCTCTTCAACTTGACTATGTTGTCTTCGAAGTGTTAGCAAGTAAGATGCAGTGAAACTGAGATTATCTTGAGTGAAAAGGCTTTGTTTTTGTACCAACTCCTGAAGCAATTTGTTTTGTCACAGTTTATTCAAGAATTTATGAAATTTATTCCCCTAGTACCTCTGTATTTGTTCACTGCTGGAGCCTTTGTCTAATTCATTAATGTTTTAAAGTTGGTGATTTTTTGCTGAAAGGTTTGCAATTCATGTTTATAGTATGTAATGGAACTTTTGCAGATGAAAAAATTGTTGTTTCCAAATGTTCAGAGCCTGCACTTTGATTTTGGGGGGGGGTTGTTGTTTTTCTAGTTATGCTGATTTGATTTGTTACGGCAAAAATTATTTGAGATTTTCTTCTAGCTCAGGAAATACATTTTTATGTGTTTGAAACAAAATAGAGTTCAATAGGTACAACGCATCTGTAATTACAAAAGGTACTTATAAAGCAGGTGGCTGTTTATCTTTTAGCTTGCTCTTCCTCACAAATGTCAAGTAAGTGTTGAGAGACATGATGAGTTATTCTTTGAACCTGCCACATCATATTCCATTCTGTGTAGTAAATAAAAGTGCTCCTCCCTTCATCTTGACTTTTTTCTCAACATCTCAGTGAAGTGATTGACCAGTGAGTGTTCCGTCTCCCTTCCAGTTTACTCTTCAGTTCATTTATTTCCTCATAACTTTTTCCACTCTTTTCAGTGTAGAAGATGATTATATTACCCATTATTTCTTTAAAACAATAAAACCACATTCTTTGTAAGATGGGCTAATTCCTGTCTATGGTATTGTGTGCAGTGCTTGAATGTAGGGGGAGCGCTTTATAGCCTTCCACATGTTTTAATACTCCATTTTACAGAACTCTGAAAGAGGGAACAGAGAGTAATGTATGTTAAAGAATTTTGTTTCCTTTTTCTGCCTAGACATTGTAAGTGCTTCAGTTTGCTAAGTTGTCATTCCTCATCACTTGAGCTTACCTTTTGAGTAAATTTAGTTCTGTGTATTTGTCAGAGCTATATTGATGTTAACATGGCTATTTTGGAGAGAGACACTGTAAAACTTCGAAAACTTTAGTCAGAAGAATCCAAGATTCTGTCATTAAGTAAACTAAACTGCTAGTTAAATTGCTGTGGTCAAACTGGCAGAGGCTGAATCATCAGGTTATGGTGGTTTTGGCAGGTGCAACTTCGTTACTGCTATGCTCTGTAAATAGCAGTGTGCTTTTAGAAAAATTAACAAACACTTCACAAAATTAAATTACATTGTCTGAAATTACAAAAAAAACCCCAGCTCTGCTGCATTTTCTTGCGAGTCACGGCAAGAAGTTTCCTAAATTACTCTCTTCGAATCTTGTCAACTACTCTAATTTTTTTAAAATATTCTTTGACAACATAAAAGCACATACTCTGCTGGAGCAACAAATCTAAAGTAGAGAGAGAAGTGAACTTGATGAAGTTCTCTTCAGAATTACAGTCCTTAATGACAGGTTCCTAAAACTAACTCTACCTGAGGTTGAAAGGTACGGTTTCCTTTTACAATTCAGACACATTTTTTAATTAATCCCTCAGACCCAGAGATGCTGGGCAGATTAATGTCTCTGCTTGCTTTGAAACACTGTTACGGAGCTGACTTTTTGTTTTTCTTGAAAATATTGTACACCAATAAAAGCTCTTGTGGGCCTGTAGAAAAGCTCTTCTCTATTTCTTCAAAAACACCATGATATGAAACCTAAAATTGTATGTTAGTGATACTCTGACAGCACTCCCAGTTTAATTAAACTTTAAAAGATTTTATGTCTCGTCCATGAAGCAAGTAAGGACTTGTTGTGGAAAGTGAGACTTCTTTTTTTTTCCCCTCCAAATTCTAGTTTTCTCAAGAAAATAGATAAGTAGATTATGAATTTTCTTATATATAAAGATTGATTGACAAGATCTTTACATTTCTTCCGTATGGAAATATATATAGATTATAAATGTGTTCTGTGTTTTTCTTTTACTCTGCTCCCTGAAATAAGTGAATTTAGGTCCTGTCAGCAATAATAGCATTAACTTCAGTTGTAGTGTATGTACCTCCTAAAATTCCCATTGCCCTCCTGTGAAATCATAGATTTACTCTTTTCAGTAGGAAATAAATAGAATGTCATTAATTCAAAAAAGGAGCTGTAGAAAGAAAGCATCTCAGGGGGGGTAAAAAAAAAACCACTAAACAAACAAGCAAATCAAAACAAATACACTGATGTTCTTATTATGGACCTTATTTCTTTGTTCATATTATCAGATTATTAAATAAATCTGAACCTCTGTTGCACAGTTAGTCCCAAGCCTATTTGTTTTTTTATTTTTATTTTTGCTAAGGGCTACAGTTGTTAAATACATAAACTTCCTGTTGTCTGGTTAAGTTCATTGAGAAAGTAGTACGCTTGTCCATCAAAATGTGCGGCTTTCTGCCAACCAGAAAAAGGCACGTGAATTCAGTATTTTCCGTAGTAAACTCTCAGATCAAGTACTCCTTTCTCCTTTCCATAACAGTGCATAGTGTAGCAACATTACAACCTTCTCTTTCTTTCTTTCTTGTAAATCAGACCGAAGGGAAGAGCACTTTCACTTCCTTTATAGGATGGAATGTGATGTCACAGGGATTCCTCCTTGGTGAGTAAATCCTGATTTTCTTTTTCCTTCTATGCTGTCAGCCAAATTCACACATCTACATGTAATCAGTAAAAAGACTGATTACAAATGAATAGTATAGCTAAATTAACCAACATGCTTCAAAGGAGAAACCAACACTTAGTTTTAATAACCAACACCAGAAATTTATTCAGTGCTGTTTATGGTAGGGAGATTTTCACATGTAACTTTGCATCACTGTGGAAATAGGTTGTGACCTTAATAGGTTTAAACACTTTTTACGTGGAGTGCCTGTGGACCAGTTCGGCCCAATTTAAAATAGAGTATCTTCAAAAAAACTATAGCCCCTGCTGTACTTAGTTTATAGTGCCTTAAGGTTTTTTACATTTATTCTAAGTAACGGTTCAGACAGGTTCATAGCTATATTTTTGTGTGTACTTCAAGCAGGCTTTTTTATAATACTTAATGTAAATTTTGTGGAGTTCTGAAAGTTCATTGCCAGGTATCTTACTATTAGACTTGAAGTTGATTCTCTGCATAATAAAATACAGCATTTTAGCATATTTTCATTTACTGACTTCAGTTATAGATGATACTGTTATTAAAAAAACAAAAGCTTAATGAAAGCTAAGTCTAGTTGTCACTCATTTGAAACCTCATTTTTTTTTATTTCGAGACAGCTCTCATCGGGGCCTAACAGCAAGGTTGGTTTTGTTTCATTATTAGCATGGTCTTGTGCTGTGTTGTGTGCATGTAGAGGCTTTTTGTTGTTTGAGAAATGAAATGCTGTCTAATCTTGGCAAACTCAGCTCTCCATATCTTAGGATTCTTCATTTGGGACATATTTTTGTAAGCACTTAAGTCCGTATGTCTCACAATTTTACAACAGTGAAGTCCTGCATACTGTAAACTGTATCTCTGTTTAAAGTCTCAAACTGGTTATTAGATTTGATCAAAATAGCTTTTCTTCCTGAAGCCAAAAGTAATTCTAAGCTTGAACGTAATTGTAGGAAAACACTTCCAATAGATCACTTTGCGCATTTTGGGAATTCTTAGTGTGTAGCTATATGGGCAAGTGTGCCCTTCACACAAACTTGTTTTCTCTGACATGTTTACTTAGTATGCTAACAGGAAAATATCCTCTTATGTATTAATGCTGTATATAAGATTAGAAATTTACGATACCACAGTTCATTAATGAAGGATGCATTGAAGGATTAAGACTTTGATCGAGACTGAACATGTACATGTAAAACAAAATCCCACAGTTCAGTTTCCATACAAGTATATGTGATGTAAAAATGAAGAAAGAAAAGATACCTAAACAAAACTTTAACTAGACCACCATTTCAATAACTGAAATATGTTATTAATTACTATAAACCTCAGTGGTTGTCTATTTCAAAGTGTAAATATTGAATAAATAGTGCAGTTAGAAAAAGTTCGCTGTAAAATACTTGCTCAAACTTGTAACCTCAGTGCTAAAACACTTCGGTGCATTATTAGCCAAGCAGTAAACCTATACAAATGAAAAAGTTTTTTTAATATTGTGAAGTGTAGTAACATTTATAGAAATAATACTCTTAAGAGTTTATAAATGTATATGTATGCAGGTCGTTAAGTTCATTATTTATTAAGATTAAAATAACCGTCTAATGCATTATTGTAATGATAATGTAGTCGTATCTTTAAATTACTGTATCTGTGACATCAGTATTGGAAATACTGTGTGTAACTACGAAGGAGTAATTGTTTAGAGTAATCTGAATTATTTGGATGAGACTAAAGGAACCAGTTAAAAATGCAACAAACTGTAAAATTAAACAAGGAAAATGTATTGAATTCGTGTTAGTTTAAAAAACCCAAACAACTATCAGAAAACAAACAACTCTACAAGGTGGCTGGAAAACTGTGTATAATCAGACTAGTGAAGACTGCAGGAGCACCAGAAAGCCTGAAAGACTGAAGAAGTCATATGACAGTCTGTGCAGAGTTAAGTTTGAAATAGAATAAGCAGAGTGCTTACGCATTAGATGCTAAAATAATTAAGTACTCAGACAAGTATACTTGTCTACAGATCCCTTTGTATACTATATAGTGAAAACATTGTTCATTTTGCAATTACAGTTGCTGAAAAGCGTACCATAGGCAACTGTAGTGAGTTTTTTTTAGACTTTTTTTTATACAGTAAGAACAAGTTCATGTTTGTCCTAGGGTGCGTTTTATGTTCCAAATGGTCTAACCACTTTAAATTCAATGAGCAAGACTTATTAAAACACTTATCACCCGATCTTGGTTATTTCAGAAGTCAGTCACTTAAGCAAACTTGTGCATTAGCTACTTCTGGTTTGTGATGTATCAAAGCCAAATATCAGTAAACTGTGATTTATTTTTAATAATGCTCTACTTAAAGCTAAGTAACTTTAATTATACAGGTGTTGAAACAAAAAGGGGATTGGTGGCGTAGATGCCTATACATTGAAAGCCTTGAGCTGTTTTGCTTCTTTAATAACTTAAGGAAAAATACTGTGAAATCCAGCATGCTCTTGTTGAAACAGTCACAAATACTGTGTATCGGTAGGATGACCATTTGTAGGGTCATACTCCTTATGAATGATTGAACCTAATGTTTTTCAGTCAGTAGATGGAGACAGAACTCTTATTACTGTATGAAGTGTGGATCATGGCCTTTTGAGTATGGTACCAAATAGACATGCCTTGAAAATGACAGTCAGGTAACTAGTTCCTTAAACTTTCACTTCTCTAAGGAGATTGCTTGTGACAAACACTGCTTTTCACACCAAATTTTTCTTCATTGGGTAGCCGTTTTATGTATATCTTGAAATAAGTTTGACTCTTTTTTAACACTTGAAGTGGATTTTCTTAAAAATGTCACAAGTAATTATAAAAAAAAAAAAACATTTCTTTTTGTTGTTATTCCTAAAATGTGTAGAACAAGTTTATGGACAGCCAGAGTATTTGGTAGTATTCTAATTTGATAGTACTTTAATGATATAGAATAGCAAAGTAATTCTTCATAACTGTTTATGAGGAAAGTTGCTTCATTTTAGGTTTCTGAAGTGGGAGGACATACACATACAGATCCAGTGGTTTTCTAAACAGAGGAGAGACTTGGATTCGCACGTTCCAAATGTGTCCCAATGCGGACAAACCATAAACTGAGAAGTGTGGAGTATGAGTAATAAACATTGAGCTTGTGAATTTGTGGTTTTTTTTTTTTTCCTATAGCAGACTGTTTTTCTGAATTCCTGGTTCTTGATTAATAGCAGCCAGTGCACTGTATAAATTTTGCCATAGTTTAACTTTCAACTGTCTCAAACACTGTGTGATAAGCATTGAGCTTGGCATGCTTCTCCTTTTGTTGATTGACTGGACTGAAACAGAAGCATGCTGTGGTGGAATAGGGAGGTATAGTAGTAAGGCTTGCACATCACTTTCTTATATTAAAATGAATAATAAGCTTGTATATCCCCTTAAGCATACATTTGTATAATTATTTTATTTTTAGACAGAAGAGTTTGTTTCAGTGGAGATTTTCTGTCAATTAGTAGACGTAATGGTAAGTGTACCCAAAGGCTGAGGAGTTGGAACATCTTGTTAAGTACGCACGGTAGAATATTGAAGTCCCTGCGTGTGTTTTTTCTGTTGTTTTAATTCGCTAGTTAGTGTTACAGTGTGAGAGGGCTTATCTGTAGATGATTTCTTGCATTTTCACTCTGAATTCATGCAGATTGAAGGATCACCTCATGTTTAAACAGCTCAGTGTATCCAGCAGTAGTAATAGTAAAGCAATAGAAGGTTTTACGTACCTGATAATAGAAAGAATGGATAAGCCCTACTCTTTACTATTACGGTACTTCAGTGTTTGAAGAAGTTTAATTTAAAAATTTGATTCTTTGGTAGTCTACTATGTACAGCTAAGTGTGGGAACTTGAGGCTTAGCGTAATGAAACCACTTGTAAAATTCTGTAAAGAGCATCTTGGACAGCATGACTTAAAGGAAAATGTTAGACGTAATAATGGAATAATGGCAGAAAACAGGTGAAAAGACATAAATCGTGTATCTTGAAGTGTTGAAGGACAGTCTAAACGCCTTAAATCCACGTATTTATTGGCTTATGAGATGTGAAAGTTGTAATTTAAATTATATTCAGCTGTGTAATCAGCCAAATTGTGAAACAACTCACATAACATTATTTCTGGAATCCAGTAGGGTATAAGAGGAACTGCACTTGGACAAAGGCTCTCATACTATCTTTTAACAGCAGAGTTCCCTAAAGCTGGGAAATTGTTAATATTTAATTCACTTCCGCAGCATCACTGTATGCCTGGGATAGCTTTGAAGGAAAAGACCAACTGATTTCTATGGAAAGATTCTGCTTGCTGTTTTGTAACTGGAATGATTAAATATAAAATAAGATAGTTGTTATGCTCTTCATTTATTGTTCTCCTTTTCTCCTCATGAGAAAAAACGCCCATGACTAATTTTCATGTGAAATCTTTCCCTCCGTCTTCTGTCACACTTCATGCACAACTGTAAAAATACAAAGTCTTTTGAAATGAGCTAAGTTGTCTCAGCTTCTCATATCTCTGTTCAGTGGTTTCTAAAGTTGTATGGTAGCTCAGTTTGCCTAGTTCTTACCTCTTGGCTCCGTACTTTGAAATGAGATATTGAAAGAGTTATCAGTACTGTGCTGTGTATTTCTTGTTTACTTCTTGACCTTTGCATAGTTGTCATAGCTTTTTTCTTTGGTTTTCTGAGATTCTGGTGCAGATTAATACAGCATTATGAATTTGTATGTGATATTAATCATGAAATCTGATTACTTAGTGCTGAGGATTGTTCTGAAAGTACTTTACAGTGTTGGCACTGAGTAGTTACTGAAGACAGTAAGTAGAAACATATTGAGAAAAACGAATGCAGAAAACATGTAATGGGTGGGCTAAGACTTTGACAGGCATAAAATCACATCAGCCTGTATGTGTTTATATGTATTACACAGTTTAATGCGAGGGATAGGAATGATTTGTGGGAAAGGCAGATTTAACCAATGCAAGCTTCATCATACACTAAAACTGCAGTGTTCAGTTCTCACTGAACACTGCCCGCATCATTTCATAACTGCAGGCTTTGCAGTTGTTTCTGTGTGTTTGCCAAAAGGTGACAAATCATTAAACTTAATCCAATCCATTTATGTGGTTTCCTTGTCTTTGTAGGAAATAATTATCCCTATCCCATATTATATTCAGTGTCACCTCAGAATCCTTTTGCACATGATATTAGCCAGAGCAGAAAAGGATTCTGCTGCAATAAAAGTGCTTTTGTGGATTTGTGCAGTAGACGTGGTTAATCTCTCTCAATTGGAAATATGTTAGTTGTAGACCTAGTTGTAGATTACTTGCCTAGTCAATATGAAGGAGTCTTACTTAGTGTACAATAAAAGAATGCTGGAAAATATTTTAAATGCCAGGATCTTCTTACTCTTTTCACTTTCTAGGAAACAGTTTGCTGTGCTCAGCATTTGCAGTAATCCCTTGTATGACCAGGGGTTAGAGGTGTTGACAGCTCTTCTGTCATCAAACTGAGTAAATTGAAACTGTGATGATATTTTTACAATTTCTTTTAAAGTTGTGTTTTGAAGAAGTTGTTGCAGCATTACTGTTGGTTCTGTTCGTGTGGATGAGAAGCACAAGAAGATATTGCACAACTTTGAATAGAACATTAATAGAGTGTATTTTTAGTTAAAACATCAGGAAAAAATGAAGTGTTTACTGCAGTTTTTTCTAGACATACAGACTACCGAGAAACTAAAACCAAGTCACTTTGAGAGGTAAAATTCTCTGAAAACATTGTTTCAATGTACTCTGTTCTACAAAAGCTTAATTCTTGTAAGGCACAGCAATCGGGTGTAGTTGATCTGGCCCTTTGGAGCAGCCTTTGAATTGAATGGTGGTGATACTCAGTTTGTTCTGTACGCAGCACGTTCTCAGAATATCTTCATCTTTCCGGTGTATAGGATGCTGTGTGTGTATAGAGTTTGTGTTCCCCTGTGATATTTGCTATCTGCTTTTACATTGGCTTCTCTGGAGTCGGTTTTACTGAAGTGAGTGTAGTCATACTGATGAAAATCAACACAAGCAGAGGAGCGGTAGGGTTAACAGTACAGAATAACTGCGACTTGTGACTGTACTGGTGGTTGAGCATCTTTGATGTTATTTGTAAGCCAGAAAACCTTGAACATGATAATTCCAGTCGATTTGTGGACATCAAAGCACTTTCCTGTGAGAGTCTTTCTGGACTGCTTCAGAAGCAGTCAGATAAGCAGGTTCTGCTTACTACTGCATTTCAACAAGAGACCATCCCGTTGTAAAAATTGGTACATTGCCAAACTTTTAAAACATAGACTGTTGAAGTAGGTGTCTCTCTTGCTAGTCAGGTTTTTCTCTACCAGGTACTCTGCTTCCCTAATGATAAGGTACGTGTTGGCTGGAAGAATGAAGATGCTAATTTTCTGAGTAACAAATTCTGATTCTCTTTTTCAAATTAAAAGACCTGGCGTTACGGGTGTAGAGTAATAATACCACTTTATCCCAATCTGTATTGCGTAGTATGAGTGTTTTCTGAGGAACTTGTACCAAAATGACTCTGAGTACACTTCCAAAATTCAAGTAAGTTGGAGAAAAAGGAACATGTTGTGTTACTGGGCAAATGAGTGCTAATCATAATTGTGAACTTGGTTAGGTCCTATACACATTTCAGTATATGCTAATCTATTTTAAAAAGTTCAATCCTTTAAGTCAGATGTAGTTAAATAGGGCAGTAAGCTTTCAAAATGTAATTTTGCAGGTTGGAGAGGTTTCATTTTCTTTTTTTGCAAGTTGCATTTTTGTGTGTGTGTCATGCAAGGGTATAGTCATAGGTTTTTTAAGCAGCAGGCAAACACTGAACGTGCTGAAAAATGGGCACTTTCAGTTTTCTCTAAGTTTTTTAATTGGTGTTTTCATTTCAGACTCAATTTGGGAGGGGAAAAAAGGAAGAAAATTGAGACTTTTTGTCAAGGACTTAGTCTGAAATAAAATGTGTCATGGTCACTGTTTCTGGATGACTTCTGAGAGCAGGAAAATACCTCTTAGAATGAGAAAGCCACTCTAAGCAGTCCTGGTGTGCTGGACAAGGTTCAATTCTATTATTCAGAATATAACTAATGTTAATACAGATTATGCAGTTAAAAGTGTGTAATAAAAGGAACAGTTGCTCTGTGTTCAAAGTGTAATACTGTAAATCTGAGAGTTCATACTCCTAGAATGAGCATAATCTATTCGCATATTGTAGAATGACATTGTATGGTTCCGTAAGTGTTATAATGCATGAATGCTGTCTTCAGGGCTTTCTTCTTTTGAATAGAAGACCAGAAAGAAACCCAAAGTATAACACACCAGCTCTGATATTGTATTTAAATAGAATGAATCACGTAGCTGGGATTTTTGACTTGTCTGCAGGGTCTGTAGAATGTCTTGACTCCCAGAGGTCATAAGTAACTGTTCAAATATTTTTCAAAAATAGCATGAATTTTTAACTTATTCTAATTTTTTTTCTAAACATATTAGCAGTTTATGGGAACATTGTCTAACCTCTGAATTACCTAGTGATTTAAGCATATAGAAAATGAAAATTTGCAACTTGCATTCTGCTAATTGGTTCTGATTTTTGTGAAACGTTAACTTCTGCAAAAGCCTTTCAGTGTATATTAAAAATAAATTATTTCTCTATTTTTTTGATATGTAATTTTCAAATAACCTTTTGATTTAATTTTAAGGCTTTTAAAATGCTTTGCATCCTATTAATACTAAACTAAGTAAATAGACAGGTAAATACTGCCTTGCAGTTTCATTATGTGTATGGCTGCTCTTGTGGCAATTGAGGTAAAGCTATTTTCTTCCTGTAGTTTATTAGAGTGAAATTGTGTAATGATTCATTTAGTCTTCTGAGTTTCTTGAGGAACTACAGATAGAAAGCTTCTGTGTTGCATCAAGATCTGCCTCAAGCTCTGATGTCAAATTGTTTGCATTTACTGCTGCAGAGCTTAGAGCTAAAAGAAGATATGGCATTGTATTTAGAACCTATTCCTCAGCATCTGGATCACTATGTTGAAATTGAAGATGATGGCTTCATTTCTTTTCCTTTTGGTTATAGCAAATACAATTTCTGTAACTGAGTCAAAATAGAGTAGAATTGACTGGAAGAGGGAAGGTAAATTAAAAACCAAAGGGCATGCATGCGGAAGGTTCTTAACAATCGGGAGCTGTTACCCAACAAAAATAGTATTTTAACTAAATGGATGTGGCAGATAAGAGAATGTGATCCTGCTCAGGAGTGTGATCTATAAATGTGTATCATAGTCATGGTGTTCCTTATGTGTTGGAGTGAGGGACGGGGCAGTAATAAACTACATTAAAATATATCTTTGATTAACAGTTTCCATAAATTCCTATTGACTTGGTAACATTGGTATTTTGTGGATATATGACATTTAGTGGAACTTTTTGCCCCTTGTATTTCAGTGATAGACGTTTGCTGCAGCCTGCTCAGGTATGTGACATTCTCCAAGGAGTCATATTGGTCATCTGCTACTTCATGATGCACTATGTTGACTACTCTATGATGTATCATCTGATAAGGGGACAGTCTGTCATAAAGCTCTACATCATCTATAACATGCTTGAGGTAAGAATATTGGTATGAGAATATCAAGCATGCTTTTTTCAGACTATCTAAAATACTGTTGTATTATATTATTTGTTCTTAGAATACGGCACATGTTGTGTTCTCAGAAATGTGCGCACACCCACGATAATAAGTGTAGATGCAGTGAACAAACAAGTTCATGAAAAGTAAGTTTTGTAGATACTGTTTCATACTGCCCAGTTCTTGGAGCTTATTAATCAATTTAGTTGAATGAAAATTGAGAACTGGAAACAGAAGAAGAAATGTCTTAAACTGCAGAGCAAGAAGTGAAATGAATGAGACTTTGAACTTGTTGAGAAAAGTAGAAACTATTGATTTGAAATAGTGATAAGATCCTGAGAGAGAGCAGAGAGGGAAGATAGTAGAAGACACTGAACTGTAATATTTAGGCAGTCTTTGCTGTGAATTGGAAACCATGTGCCATTCCATTCTGAATGAATAGAAGAGTTGAGTTTCTTTGCTATATTTGGCAGAACCAAAAGTGCGTGTCTCAGCTAAGAAGTGCTGCCTGAGTTTCTCTCCTTTAGGAAAGGAGGAAGTCTGTTACCACTCACAGTTATTAGAAAAATTACCTCAGACTTTGAAGTTGGAAACGGTGTCTCATGAAACCAAGTATGCCAAGCAAAGGACATAGTTTTTAGGGGACTTTTTTACTGTGGTAGGTTGCAGCCACAGTATTGGCAGAAAACGTCATGAGATCCCACTGAAAGACTACGTTGATAGTCAGCTTTCAACAGTTTGAATATTGGCTTGCTTAGACTACGTTGATGAATTTGGTTATAAGTCTTCGCTACTAATGCAAGCAGTGCTTTTTAAGGAACTGTTAAATATGATTGATATTTTTTTTAAGTAATAAACGTCACCTTTTCACAAGTTTTCAGAACAGGAAAATCTCTTTAATTTAACTAAATCACTGAGCAACAGAGATGTTTACAATGTCGTAATGTTTTCGGCTGTTGGAAAGTCCAGGAAATATTGTCCTGGACAGGTATGAGGAATGTAGAGTCTTCAAATTATGTACTGAATGCTCCAGATAGATAGCTGAAGGGGAGCATTCAGCACATTTGGCTTAAATGACACTTCTCTTCAGACCCACCGGCTCCTGCTCCTTGTGAGGCCTCAGTGTGCGTTACGCTGGTGACAGCACTCACCATGGAATTCTGCTGGAGCCTGCAGTCGGCGTGTAGGGTTTAGGTAAGTCATATTTGGAAAAGCAAGCAACAATAATGTGTGGTGGGTTTTAATATTTTTCTATCCTGTCAGCTAAGAAACAAGGACTGCTTAAATAAAAAGGAAAACAAAGCCACTGTATTAAAACCCTCACGATATTGTGAACAAAAACTTAGCAAACTAAGCATTCTGTAGTTGGTGTTACTACACCAACTGTAATTACTCAATGAGTCATCACAATGAGCAGGAACCAAATAATGCAGACCACCTTAATTTAAAAAACTTAAAAGCCGAAAACAATACCACTGTAAATGTCTCTCAAGCTGATGGCTTTTTGGACTTCAGATTTATGATAATTCATCAGCTCATGGTTTGTTCATTTTATTTAATAGGTGATGCTTAGAGGAGCATATAGTACAGTTTACTTGAGACATGCAGTAAAAATTTGTTTTAGTTCAGCCTTCATATTTTAGGAAACTTAATACTTGAATAAATTAAAGCGTATGACTTTTCTTTTGGAGAAAAGGTGTCCTTACCTTTAGAACTCTTAATTAACAAAGTCAGGAAATGATCCCAAATCTAGGTTTACTTATGTTGTCCCAAGAACTTATTTGCTAGTTAATAGGTATGGTTCAGTATTAGCAGGTACATCATGCATGTAGTTCTGTATTGCTACATGTCGTTTTAACATGTCCAAAATTGTTGTCTTGCAGAAAGACAGTAAGAAGAAATAGCAGTTGTCTTTATTAAGTAGAGATAATCAGTTTTAACTATTTCCATTTCGTTGAGTTATTAAGCAATGAAAGTATCTTTTTTTTTTTTAACCAGCATGTGCCTTGGTATACCAAATTGAATTTTTGAAGTGCTCTTTTTCTTGTCCTGTGCAGCTTAATTTTAGAATTACTGAACTGTAGCATATAGGCAGAAAAAAAGTCTTTCCTTGTAAAGTCCTTTCCTCAGTCTTCAGTTTTACATACTTGCTGGTGATGAAGTGTTGAGAACTGGTGGAACTCCATGTCGCCTTTCTTGCTGTGGTATTGAATTACAAGCTCAGATTGCTGTCCATGTTTTTCCTGTCTTTAGAATTACTGCTCCTTTTCCCCTAATTGTGCATGTGTTCTTTGGGTTACAATTCAGGTATTTGTAGTTTTTTCAGACTAATTTTCCCTTTGTGGCAGAATTTCTAGTCCCTCTTGATCACTTGCAGTTGTGGTATAGTACTTTTAATTTTGAATTCTGCTTTATGCAGAGATTTTTATTGAGTATATACTGTCTTCCAAGATGTAAGGAAACAGTACAGCCAGATCTAATTTCAGTCCTTTTTGTAACTATAAGCTGATGTTGTTCCATATCACACATTTGAAATTGGCTTTTCATTATTTTTCTCCTGTATTAAACCCAGAGGAGTGGGAAAATACATTTAGGATAGTTTAATGCAACATACATACTGCTTTTTCAAAGGCTGGAGTTTGAACTGTGCTTGGATGTGTTCCAAAGAAGCATCTAAGATAATACTACATGGTTATATATTGTAAATACTGTTGAAAAGGGGATAAAAATGAAAAGGGAAAGTAAGCTGCTGAGTATACAAAATGAACGATACCACAGTGAAATCCAGAGTGGAAATGGAATGAACAAGAGATGGAAAGTGATAAATATGTGAAACTTTTTTTAGGTTGAGCTGTTCTTACAGTGGCATATTCAAGTGTCGGAGAGAAAAATATTGCTTTAAGGCAGTAAAAAGTTCTTCTTGTTTAGGTGGCTGATCGTCTGTTTTCTTCATTTGGACAAGATATTTTGGATGCTCTTTATTGGACAGCTACAGAACCTAAGGAGAGAAAAAGAGCTCACAAAGGTGTGATTCCTCACTTCTTTTTGGCAGTGCTGTATGTCTGTATCCTTTTTCTTCAATAAATGGCAAAATTTTCTAAATTAAATCACGCAGTAATTACTCTGCATTTATTTTACTATTTATGTATAAAAATATAAAATTGATAGTATTTCTAAATCAGTGTTTTTACTTTCAAAGTAAGATTGCCAGTATTACAGGTTTTTAAAATGAATGAAAAAACCTTTTAACCTCCTTTAAAAAAACTCACCTTCATAAGGGTATACTACTGCAGTAGTAGACAACTTTTTTAACACTTAGTGTGTAGTAAAATGAAAAATAGTAATTGGATAGTTCATGGAAACTTTGATTTTTGATTTGTATTTGAGTACGTCAAGTCAGAGGGTCTTGAAGACAGTGGGGTTTTATTATTTAGTGGAACATTACAAACACCTAGCTTGAAAACATTTTCTTGAAATGAAGGGATAAACTCATGCATATTCAGGATGCAAGTGAGTTTATGTGAAATAACCTTGCAGTGAACTGATGAAAATGACCTGTAAAGAGATACGTAGTCCTATAGGTGTGTTGATGAATTTAGAATTCTTGTACTTTCCCCTGTTTTCTCTGAAATTTTTAGGCTAATTCTGAATCTTTCTTTATCTCAGATTTTTTTTCTTCAGGTTGTATTGCTGTTTCTCCTGACTAATGTCATAGGGCTTTTTTAGAACAAGAAAAATTAACATAATTATTACATGCTACAAAGCACTGTGGGTACATTACCTAGGTTTAAGTACTGTCTTCCTGTAAATCTAGTTGTCAGGGAGATAGAAACTTTTTTGTTAAACTTTGGAAACAAAACAAGAAATTTGAGTTTTGGGTGCTGTTCATTACTGTTGTGCAGAAAAATTGTTTCGAAATATGCTTCCTTAACCCTGCTATCTAGTCCTGCATGCTATTCTTATAATGGTTCAAGCAACAACCCTTAATGTGGCCTTCAACTCCCACAATAAATCACTGCTTACCATCATGATGTCGAATAATGTAAGTATAGAGCTTTATTATATAGCTACCATAATTTTTTTCAGCATCCTGTCTCTTTGTGTATCATGTCTCTGTTTGCATATTATTTGATTGTCTGTTTCATTTATATCAGGTTTGTATCAATAAAAACTAACTAACTGTTTTTAAAAATTGCAGTTTGTTGAAATAAAAGGAAGTGTTTTCAAGAAATTTGAGAAGAACAATCTTTTCCAAATGTCAAATAGCGGTATGTATGGCTATGCTAATCAGGAGAAAATGTGAAGTGAGAGGCTGATGTTTTTAACTTATTCATTTATTTAATATTATTGTTAAAACAACTTTATCTTGGTAAATTTGAGTGTTCTGACTTTAATTCCTCATCTACCCTATTAGTGTTTGGTTCAGTAGGAGGCAACTGGGATTCCACTTCCAGGAACAGCTTTTCCTAAAATGACTATTTTTTATTTGAGGTGCTAAAACAACGTATTGGCTGTGCACTGAAGTTATTAAATACTAATTTTGGATTTAAGTTACGGTATTCAAAATATCCATTCTTTGAAGTCTCTGAAGTCTTCTGTGTTTTCAAAAAGTTGAGTTTGTAGTGTGCTGTGTTGACAGCAATCTCAGAATGCATGTTGTTTGGCAGTTGTCAGTATGAATCTTGAAATATTCCTCCTGCTTCCAAAGAATGTGATGATGAAGTAGCTGGCTTATGAAGGAGATACCAGAGATGACGGTAACTTTTGACAGGATAGTTAGGAAACACATTATGCTTCTGGCGCTTCTTAACTGTATTGCTGCTTAGTAGGAGATTTGGGAACTCTTGTTCAGTGTGTCTCATGAGGAAAAGCTGTTACAGGTGTCTTTTGATGGAGGTTCTTTCTAATACTAATATCAGCCATCTGAAATATGTGTTGAATATGTTTCAAAATTAATAGGAGAAATTGCGCTTTAAGGTTGTAGTACAGCTTCTTTGCTTGTAATATTTTCTGATCTTTGAATTTGTTTGTTATTTTGTGCCTATGACTTTTTTGGTCAAACCTATTTATACAGATAAGCAAACAGAATATGTTTTATGTTTTTTCAGTCCAACTCCTTGTTTTTTTAAACCAGAGAACTCTAATATTCCATAGGTTAAAAAAAAACAATGTTAGTGCTTATTTAAAAACAGATGATTCAGATTTTTTTATAGAGAGTTAAGCTTTCAGCAGGCTTGCTTCAGGTTTTGAATTCTGGCTGTTGATGTGATTTTTGACTAATTCATCTGCAAACTAATAATATTACATGCAATATTAAATGACAATTGTTTTCTGATGCTTTGGATGAAAGACTATTTACATAAAATACGTATGATATATCTTAAGTACATAACAGAAAAATTAACACCTCACAGAAGTTCTTAAAAAACAAAGAAAATAATCTTCCCAGATGGGTTGATAAAGTGTTTATTCTCTGCTAATAATATGTATTTTTGGTTCCAAGATTTAAATACTTATTTTTTTTAATTAAATGTATTAAACTCTACAGTGAGAATATCTAAGTGATGTTTATTAAAATATTGACATAAAACATAGTTGAGTTTTCTTAAATTTTCTTTCGTTAATCACAATACTTGCAGAAAATAGTTAAAAGTATGCACCTGGGTTTCCTACTGAAAGATGGGGTCTATTTCTTCATTTAAATGTTGAAATAAATGAGAGACTGCTATTAGAAATGTCTAGTAATTTCGTCAATAAAAAGCACCTGCAATAGTATGCTTGAAGAAACGTATATCAATATTTTATTGCTAGATATTATTATCGAAGACCCATAATAGCAATGTCAGGTCTCCTTTATCACTTGGTGGAAAAAGTGGTTCCATTCATTATACTGAATGGGGATGGAAGCAGGTGAGTACATACATGGAAGAGTGCACAAAGCAGGGTAATTTATTCCCTTTAAATAGATAACTTTTCCTGGAACACTTCACAGTATGGTTATAAATAGCAGTGTTTTTCTTCTCATAGAGAAATAGCATGATAGGTTTTTAGGAGAGATTTTCACCTCTTCTGAACTTGAACAGCTTCACTGCATCACAGCTTCAGTAAGGATGGATCAGTATTGCTTCCGTTCATGTATCCTGATAGCTTTGTTATCCTTTAAATGCTTTATTTCCTGCAGTTGAAGTGGTAGTGCCTCTTGCATTGGCATGCTGTGCCAATGCTATATCCTACCCTTGGAACTGAGGCTAGACTCATGCTGTGGACTGAGCTTTCAGTTAGCTTTTGGAGTGCCTTGTGCATCCTAGAACATGATATGCTTAAACTGCATGCCTAGACTGAACTAAACTGCCTCAATAAAGCACTAAGTATAGGTTCCCCCATATATTTCCCACCTTTCTTTCAGTTTCTTCCAGCTGTTTCTGGTCTTCAGTCTCTGCTGTAGGGCAAGAGTGGCAACAGTAGCTGATTAAGCTTAGACAGACTGAATGGATGCTCCCTTGCCCCACCTTTTCTGGGTCTCTGCTCAAAATATTACCGTTGTCTCAAATATATGGTTTTAATTCAGTGAAAAAGTACTGATTAGTACACAGAAGCTAAATATACTAATTCTTGTTGGGGGGGGGAGGGAAATAAGGTCAGTCTCATAGAGGCATCTGAGGAACTTGTCATGAATAGGTGAAACTTCCTTCTTATTTAACATGTTAATGGAAAGAAAAATATGAACTAGCACAAAAGCAAGATATCAATGACCTCAAGATTATTGTGATCAAGAGATGTTGCTACAAATAGAATTCAAAAGCAAGTGATCTTGTAAATAGAAGCATGAAAACAGAAATGAACTATTTCAGTTGTACTAAGACATGTCCTATATCATGCATTGAAATACCTTGCAGAGCTCTGATGCTACATAATAAGACACCAGGACATGAAGTGCCACCAAGCTTACCAGTTTAGATGTGGAAATCATTAAATCATTTTCACTTGGCATTATGCTCAGCACTGGCTTGTGGATAGCGAGCTGATGTGTGGCTGTACTATTTTTCCCAGTATTTCCAGTTCTGACTTACTGACTGAGTCAGTGATCCTTCTCACCTTTATATGGCCTGCTAATTCTTTAAAACTTCAGGACTAAAAGACCTGTGAATCATCTACGTAAAAACTGTTTGAACAGACCATGAAATACAGATTGGTTACACAGTTATCTAATAAACCAAACCTGTTATTTTTTAGGTGCAGGAGGTCAACAAAGATCTTAAGGTTTGTATACAGCTGCTTGAGATTGCAGCTGCAGAATCTGTGATTTCAACCATATCGGCTCCTGCAGCTTTGATTTGTCAGCTGCAGCAAAACTACTTTTGCATTTTTACTCTATTACTAAGGAACTTATGTACCCCCAAGCAATCTAAATACTGTGGCCATTGGAAAAGACCTCTATACAGAAGACATAAAACTTTATATTTGTTGTAGCAGAAAGAAATATTTCCCTAAATTTAAATAGTATATCTTCTTTTTGAAATAGATACCTGTAAGCTAATTTTGTAGAGTTCAGGATTAGTGAATGAGGAGACCAGAATTATAGAGAGAAGCTCTTTCATCATTGTTGAAAGCCTGGCATGCTGCCTTCCTTTGTGCTTTTAAATGTCTTACTTTAATTCCAAACTGTGCTTTAAGCTAGATTTTTCACAAAACGCCATTGTACCTCATATGAAGTAGTACATTAGGTGCAGTGTGTTAATGTTACTTGCTTCAGTTGGCTGTTTAGCCAGATTATTCTTTGTTTTTTAAATCTCTTACCTCAAAGATTTAACATACTTATTCTGAAGCTTTAGGAACTTCAATTTTTTTCTTTATAATTTCTTCCTTTTATTTTTCTTAATTCTGTGTTTTCTTCTGTGTTGCTGTTTTATCAGTCTCTTTGGCTTTGATCAAAATATTGAACAGCCTTTGTTTTTATCTTTGGTCTCTGGCATTCAGTCTGCTTTCTCATGTGTCTTTATTTTTTTTAATACCGTTGTTTTAATCCAGTTGTTCATTTTAAGGATGTGGGAATTGGGGACAGGAGTCCATATAAGATAGATCTGTGCCTCCTTGATTCCTTATTTAGTCTTTGATCCTTTCTTGTGCTCTGGTCACTTGTTAAGAGGTAATTATCACTAGAGCTACTTAGGATTTGCTGAAATGTAAACAGAAAGATCTTGTTTCACTTCTTACATGCAATGATTTATAACCAGCTTTTTATCTAAACATATAAACAGTGAAATTAACATGATCAAAATAATTTTTTCCTTCCTGATTGAGGATTCCTGCGTGATGTGTCATGGAATCTGGAAGGAAGTAACTAGGTGTTCTTGTTGTGGTTCAGCCCAGCTGGCAGCCAAGCTACCATGCTCGCTCACTCCTTCCCCCCTTCCATGGGGTGGAGAGGAGGAAAAAAAAGTAACAAAAGATAAGGACAGGAGGGGATCACCCACCAATCATGGCCCCCAGGCAAAACAGACTCAGCTTGGGGACAAATCAGTTTAATTATCAGTTACTTCATTGAGGATAAGGAGAAATAAAACGATATCTTAAAAACACCTTCCTCCCTTCTTCCCAGCTCTGTCTCCTCTCGCCAGCGGTGCAGGGTGACAGGGACTGGGGGTTTTGGGTCAATTGATCACGCGTTGTCTCTGCTGCTTTTTAAAAGGTCAGGACTCCTTACACTCTTCCCCTGCTCTGACCTGAGGTCCCTTCCCACAGGAGACAGTTCTCCACAAACTTCTCCAATGTGAGTCCTTCCTGCAGGATGCAATCCTTGCCCATCAGATTGTTCCAGGGCAGGCTTTCCCCATGGAGTCACAGCTTCTTAAGGTGCAGCCAACTGTTCCAGTGTGGGGTCCCTTCCCACAGGCTGCAGATGCAGCTCTGCTCCACTCTCAATCTCCAGCCCCATGGGGTCCTTACCCATGGAGACAATCCTCTACAAACTCCTTTGGGCACAAGCATCTCTGCTCCAGCGTGGGGTCCTCTTCCACAGGATGTGGGTGGATCTCTGCTCCACTGTTTCTTTCATGGGCTGCAGGGGGGCCGCCTGCCATCTCACCATGGGCTGCAGGGGAATCTCAGGTCCAGTACACCTCCTCCTGCTCCATCTTCACTGACCTTGGTGTCTGCATAGTTGTTTCTATCAGATCCCTCTCCTCTCTGCTGCAGCCGTGCTGGGCCTGACCTGCCAGGTGAACCTCAGCAGTCCTGGCAGAATGAACTCTGGGGCACTTTGGTGCTCTCCATGCTGTGCTGCTGCAGCCATCACCAGTCAAGTGACGGTGGCCCAGCGTCCCCCACCTCTCCCCTCTCTCTGCTGCCGGTCCCACATGGCACGGGTTCCTTTGTTCCTTTCTTAAATATGGCATTCGTAGAGGCGTTGATTGGCTCAGCCCTGGTCAGAGGCGGGTCTGACTGGGGTGAGCAGGGGCGAAACATGATTTCTCGCATCTCATTACAGGGACAATCTCTGCAGTCCTCCCCTGCTACCAAAACCCCACCACATAAACCCAGCACAGTTCTAAAGACTATTTGCTACTCAGTTGAATAGAAGTGCCACTTCTGGATGTCTGTTCTTGGGATCTCACTGCCCTCGTTGTTAGTTACCACTCCAAAGTACCTAAGTTATTCAGAGTTCAGGTCCTTCCTGAATGAGTTCAGTAGTCAGCTATTTGGTATGTTGGTAAATTAATTACGCTAGTCCATGCTGGATGCAGTGCTGTCCAAGGAACATCCTTTATTTCCAATTACATCCATTTCTGTAGTCTTTTACATGTTCTTTAAAAGTGATGATACCCTCTGACACAGGTGACAATTAAACTTTGAATCTCTGTTGCTATCAGTCCTTTAAACTGAATTCTGTATTTTCCAGAAGGATTTACAGAAGGGCAGAATGTGTTATTAATGTGTGGGTATAGAATTCCATTTGAATTGGAATGACAAGGTTGATGTAAGTGGGGCAAAAGTATTCAAAATCTGATTTGGTTATGTGAAATCCTTTTTTGGGCTTTACTTCACAGAACCAATAGAAAAAAAAAAGTACATCTTGCTTTTTTCCCCTATTGCCTTTGTGGCAGTATGTGCATTACTGGCTTTGAAACAAATATTTACCACCTCTATTCGTATGAGAACCCTAATAGGCACACGACTCATCTTCATAGAAGAAGGTGCGTTGTGGTTAGATTTTGACATGACAGCTAAATTCAGATGTACTGAGTCTTGAAATGTCTGATTCTTCCTTTCCCTTTTCTATATACTGAAATAGATATTTTAAAGGAATCTGAAAAGATTTAATCAGATGTAGTCATTTGCACCACCAGTGGATGCAAGGAAGCATGAGCAAGTTCAGTGTCATCTTTCAAAATAGTCTAAAGACTGTGTATATGGGGAGTATGTAGTATGATGTGTGGCCAGGCTTCAGGGCCAGTCCTATTAAGAGCAGAGTTTAAGCATGGTATTAGAATGCAGTCTAAGTATGTGCTGACAAGAGACCAACCAGGAGATAAGTATATCTGAATTAGTGGTAGGTGTCAGTTCTTCTACACTTAGGAGTATAAATGGTGAGAAAGTAAACTTTTAATCATGTGCTAGTGGAGGCAGCTGGAGAGCATTTAAAACATCCTCAGCCTGCTGTTCTGACTGTCATTTAACCCTGTCTTATAATGGAAAAGGTTATTAAAGCTATACTGTATTCTAACTGAAAAAGTTAGTGATATACTTATCACCAGTACTTTGTGTGATATGTTTGAAACTGAGTTTAAATGGCTTATATCAATGTTATTAAGGGTTGTCATGATGGAGAATGAAGGAGAGATCCCTTTTTCTTCCCACTTTACTCTTCACCACGCTAAAGCACAATAGAGACATTTCCTTTTGCTAGTACCTGTGCTCTCTATAACTGAACACCAACACTGGTGGCTTGTCACTGTTTCTCTAGGTTCACAAATAAAGTAATTTACTTTCCTTTTGCTCTTCTTTAAGAGCATGATATCTGAAAGCATGAATCTAGGGATGTCGCCTCACTTGTTCTATAGTTCACCACATCATCTAAGAAGTGACAATACATGGTACAGGAAAATCCCCTCACCTGTTTAAAAAAAAAAAAATACATGTACATGTGCAACATCAAATAAATTCATAATAAATGATGGAACATTATTGGTGCGTATTTTGCATTCTGAAATTTTAATTGTTATTTTGTTTTGGATATCCTGGAGCCTTTTTTGTCCTTGTCCATAAGGGTGAGAAATGAATTTCTGAATCATTTGAGTTCACTGTTGAAGCTGCTGTAAAATGCCCTTTCTCCCTTGCTTGCATCTCTGACAATCAGTTGATGAGAGGGATGAGGATGAAGAGCAGCCACACTCACTCCTCTCACTCAGAGCAGCCTTGAACAACTGTGGCAGCAGAGATAACAGATTAGAAGGCAGGCCAGAAAGAACAGGAAAAATAAGAAGAGGGGAAACAGGTGTCAGCCCATCATCCAGTCTCAGAAATTAGTGAGGGAAAAATCTTTATTATTATTACAGCATAAGAGGAAATTTAAGGCCAAAGATGTCCCTTCTCGATTTAATCATGTTGACTGGTGAGCTAACACGTACTGAGCAGGTAATAAATATCTAAAGGATTGACTCGAGACATGCTTTAATGTTTAGGCCTGAATTAAGGTCCTTACTTCCCACTTGAGAATTTCTATCTGTACAGGCCTCACTGGGATCTGAAGGTAGGATCTGAGTGTTGTCTTACACATTGCTGATCAATGATGGTTCAGGGCAGTGTGGAAGTATGCAATGTGGGAAATAAAAGATAAAACCTTTTTGAGATTTTGGGCAGAAGTCTGACTACTTTTAGCGACTACTTTCAAGTCGCTAATGAGTGTGATAGAGAATATAGATCAAGGAATGCTAGAGTGCGTATTAATCCACCAGGGAAGGTGCCAAGCGATATCTCATAGCTAGATTTGTCAGAAAATGATGTGTTGTGGTAATTTTGGCAGTATTTGGTGAATTCAGAAGCATAGAAGAACATACTTGCCTTGCTGGAGTGTTATCGTCAGGAAACCAAGAAATTAGGATCAGGACTTCACCTATGTCCTGTTTTTTCTGGTATTTAAATTTATTTTACTAAAGGATTTTCTTGGTTCTTTTCCTATACATGTGCCACTTGTTCTATTTTGGAAATTTGTGCTTCCTCTGACCCTTCCCCAGTCTATACTGAGAGACGAGTTTATGTACCCCAGAATGTGCCTTTTATATGTGTACATGCAATCTCATTCTTCTTGAATTTTGTGTGCTTTTTGTTCCCCTCTCCTGGAGGAGATTTTTTGGTTTTGCTCCCTTCCTTCAGGCTTGCTCGTGTTTTGAAACCTCTTTTTAAAAATTAGATATTGTTGTACTAGAGTGTAGTAACCATTAGCATTGTCGTTTATCTGTAGTCAGAGGTGATGAAAGCTGCTGACACAAAGTCAAATATTTTCTTGGCCAGCTCAATCCTTGTGTGTTCTTCTGAACATTTTTATTTCTTGTGTCCTAAACCCAGTAAGTAGAACCCTACAGAATATTCAAGGTGCTTAAGGGAATGAACCCATTGGATTTGGAGACGACTCACCCACAAAGAAATTACTGTCACAGTTATTCACGGTGTAACAAGTGATAACAATATCTTCACTGATTTTCATAGTAGTTCTGTCTTCTAAAAAGACTTCTTCAAACTTGCTAATTTATGGTGACATTTCATTTTAGGTTTTACCCCATTTTTCAATAATACAGTTTCAGGGAGGTTTTTAGTATGTTAACAAATGTGATGCTTCCTGAAGCAAGCTGTATGGATCATTTCTAGAGATAGGGCACCAAAGGAGACAAAAAGATCTTGCCTAGTCTGGGAGGGCAAGTCATAGGACTCTCTCAAGTCGAACTGCTTTTGTGTTACAGATCTTATGGTTTTGATAACTGAGCTGATGTATCCTGCTGTTCTCTTTCAAGGTGCCAATGTGAAGGACTAGTACAAACCTAAATAAGATGTAATAATTGCATTGAAACACTACCCCCCTGCCCCCCTGCTACTGGACCCGGTATATAGCATTTTGGATATTCATGATCTGTAGAAAATGAAAATTGCCTTGCTAATAATTTGAAATGACAGACAGGTGTATTATCTCCATTTTTGCACTAGGAGGTGCTGGTTCTTTTTGAATCCCACAAGAAATGCACAGACTTTATCAAGAAAGATGACTTTTATTAATGTATTAGAAGAGGTGATAGCAAGTCACAACTTCAGTCTCTTCTGATGCTGGGAACCCTGAGGTGATGCAGCATTGGACAGACCTCCAGTCAGGCCACAGCATACTGCAGAGGTTTAGTTCTCAGCATCCCCTCCCCTCAAATCCGATGAAGTAATCTGTGGGAAAGATTGTCTAATCCAAGACCTAATAAATGTTAGAACCTCAGAATGAGTAGATACCTATGTATACAAATAAATGTCTCTTTGGAGTTGACAGCTTTTTTTTTTCTAAACTAGATATAAAGGAGAGGTTCACCACTTACGTGTTGCTACTAATTATATGCCTAAGAAATATGGAACAGTTCTCATGGAATCCAGGTGAGTAAGCTAGTAGAAAAATCAAATACAAAATGACAAATTCCTGTTCTATCATCAACTGTATCTCTTCTTTCATCAATCTGAAAGATAAGGGTAACTGGGACATTTAATTGAGCAATTTTAATTTGTCAGATACCTTAGATTCTCATTTTTCTATTTTTGGCTTTGCTGTAAGAGTGACTCTATCCCTTCTGCTAAAAGTATATGCTGTTATGCTACAAACGTGCATAGTTATGTTTCAAGTAGTGTCTTAAATTATTTCTTCCCAGCCCTTCCCTTTCCTTGGAGTATGTTGAGGATGAAGGATCCCCTAGATAGTTTTATTTTGTGGGGCTAGTGAGATTGAAATTTGATACAAGATTATGTAAAACTTTCCATTTATAATTTAATATTCATTATACTTAGAACCATAAGTTCTTAGAACCTTAGAATACCATATTGAATAAATATTGAGTAAAATTTGGATTTCATTTTGTTAAACTTTTGCTTTAATAATGTCGATCCCTGATCTGTGTGGTGTGTTTCACTTGAACGTTGCCAGTCTACCTAAATTTTACCTTAAGCATCTAAAAGTGCAGGTGCTCTGTCTGTTCCTCATACATACTGAACACCTACTATCTAGTACATGGAAAGGTTGTCTTCCTAGTAGAGATAAAGCTTTGTGAAGTAAAGGCTTTAGAACCTGATCCTAATTGTGGTGTGATTGTATAGTACTCGTAAGTTTCTAGAACAGCAGTGGACTAAGTGGAAACTTGCACTCTACATGCTGAGAGGTGATGTAAAGTAACAGACTCTTCAGACTGTTACAGAGGATTTTTCACTGTTGAGTGGAAGTGTTATAATTTTTGTTTTGTATATTGACATCAAATTAAATGGCCTAACTTATTTCTTCCCAACCTTCAGATCACCTTTTGGTGTTATTCCCAGACGTTTGCATGGTGGTTGCTGCAGAAATTGCAGTGGATATTGTGAAGCATGCCTTTATAACAAAGTTCAATGACATCACAGCAGATGTAGGTATCCTATTTGGAATACTGAGTGCTATTTTAAGTTGTAGTTTATTTTGCTATTTTTTTAATATTAAAATTTATTCCAGTGTGCAAAATGTAAAAATTATTTTCATATATAGGATATCGTTTGGGGAAGCATGGTAATTTCCTGATATAATGTACTTCTGAGAATCTTTATCATGTGGAATAAACACCTCTGTTTCTAAATTAGTAGTTCCAGATCCATAAATTATTGAAAGTGTTGTGCAACAGTTCACATAATATCTACAATTCCCATAACTGGCAGATCGTTTTGTGAAATGAACACTAGTTAAATTGACAGAAGGTTACTTGTGCTACAGTCTAGACAGAGCTTGCACCTTTTCCTAGCAGAATGGATTGTAGGTTAAAGTTCAGAGTTTAGGAAAAACAGATCTTCTGATGCTGCTGAATCTCTGTTCTTGCACGTGTGTTAAAGGTGGAATCTGAAATCAGATTTTTTTTTTTCCACTGTCCCTGGTGCATGAATATGAAGCAGGTTATGTTAGTTTACCACTTCTGAAATTTCTTAGGCCATATATATATTATGCAGTCCTTCTTTTGAAGTAGTAGATGAGGTTACTTTTTGTGTGTTGCGGCATGATAACGTTGGCCATGTGTCTTGCGTGTTGTGTGAATTCAAATGCACTTGATAAATTTGTGGAGAGATCAGTTAGTGTTTTTTTTCCCTAGTAAACCCATTTTTCAGGAAATGAGATCAGAACTTGGAAGTGCTATCTTTTTCAGCATCTCTAAAGTAACTGCATTGTGCAGTGTAGAAACAAGTTTAATAGATGTACTTAATAAGCTCCCTTGCGCCAGAGGCATTTATGCATGTCCTACTTTCATCTAGAGAGTGTGGAAAAGAGCAGTAATGAAGTCATGATAGCCAAAAATGTAGCATGCTTCAGTGTGCTGAAACAGCTGGAGGATGGAGGTAGTGAGTGACAATTTTGCAAGGTTTGTTTAACAAACTTTGTATTTTTTGTGTGAAGTTCTGAAGATTTATTGTTGCACGGTCAGGCTTTTTCAGAAGACTTGAACGCCTGCAGTGCAAGTCGCCCTACCACTTAGCCTTAAAATTATCTTTCCTATCTTAGTATGCAGAGCTGTTCTAAAAAGAAGGAAAAGCTTCATTCGTCTTCTGATACAATTTGCTTTTTTCATGGGATCACTTGCTTAGTATATAAGTAAACTCTCTCATTTGTTTAATTTGATCTCAGTGCTACCTTTCATGTAGCTTAAAACAAATTACGAACTGTAGGAAAAAAGTAAACATTGTTTCTCTTACTTTGTGTTTCTGATGATCCTCAAATTCAGTAAATGCTTCATAAAGTTGCATTCAATTCCTAAAACATAGCACAGTGTTTGTTTGGGGTGCGTGTGTATATGTATATATATGCAAGTTACTTTATTGCAGAAATATAGACTAATCTGTTGAAGGGTGCAATGTGACCTCAGAAAAACTGGCTTTGACTCCTTCAGCTTATGCATAAGTGCTTCTAATGTTTTTATAGAAATATTTTATGAATACCTCTGTTGCTTCTATAAAGTGTGATAACAAATTAATCACACATCCGATGTGCTGGATTTTTCCCAGGTCTACAGTGAATACAGAGCCAGTCTTGCATTTGACCTTGTTAGCAGTCGACAGAAAAATGTAAGCCTGAAAATAAAGGCATTTTCTTGTATTAACTAACAGAATTGCGGGGCTGGGGGTGGATTGGAACAAACACTTAAAGAAATACATAAAGAACTGTTATACTCCTACAGCATTGAAATTCTACTCTGCTCTTTTTATTAAGAAATAACAGGAATATCACCTTGTGATTTATATTCTTATTTTTATCCAGTTGTTCAGGTCAGTTTGGGCTTTATATAATATATTGTTGAGAAGCCTCTTCCAAATACACGTACAGTCAGGGGATGGTTGTAGCAACTTTGACGTTTGTGAGTTATATGGGAAGTAAGTAAGCTTAACAAGATGTTCTTGAGATAATTTGGAATTACTGTTCTTTTAGCTCTGTTTTAACTGTGTTGGATCAAAATACAATATTGATTAGGAATTTATATTATTTCTTCACAGGCAGCATGCACAGACGTATAGGGATGTTTGTACCATGCATGTTACTGTTGTGGCATGGGTATTTACAGAATGTACAGGCTGCTTGTGTTTTTCATTAGTACTGAGTACTGTTTTTTGGGACACTATTTACAGCACACCTTTCCTGGATTAGTCTCTTACCTATTAGTGAGTGCTCTAACTCTTAAATGAACTTTATTGTAATAATTTATGGCATTTTCTTGGGAATATTTAATAGCTATTACTAGGAATGCAGTAGTTATATCTCATAAAGAAGTTGGATACCTTCAATTAAAAATAATGATTAATAATTTGCTAATTTAAAAAACAGTTTATTCGTTCTGAATACTTCGTTACTTTTCCTAAGGATCCTCTGCGGAAAATGAGTGCCTATGATGCTACCTAAATTTGGGATAACGTTCAGTACTGCATGAAAGCTGTCGTGCAAAGCAGTTGTGTTTTGAGAGCTCAAATGTAAACGTATTTTCAAAATTATTTTGACACAGTTTTCCTGAGGCTAATTATAGATGTTTGTAGAATGATTTAAAATTGCTAGTGTGGTGAATAATAGTGGGAGTTTTATTCCTGTTACGGGTTTTTCTGTACAGTATTTAAGGATCAAAGTCAAATTAATACTAAAAGGTCTCTAAGCTGGTAATAATGTGCAGATGAAATATCATTGTGCGTTTGAATTCAGTGTCCTAATTGCTCTTGATTTAGAGATTTGTATTATATTCCAGTTGCTCTTGATTTAGAGCACTGAAGCTAATCTCACTGGTCATGGTAGTATTACATTTTTGTCTGAGAGTACAGCTATCTGAATTTCAATTTCAAAATATGAATAGGTACACTTTATACCACTGTAGTGTTTGTTAAGAGATTGACTCTTATCTAGAGGGTGTGCCACACTAAAAGAAGCTCATTCCCTTGCATAAATAGTTCATTATTCTTCCTCTTTTTTTTGCTAGGCATATACAGATTATAGTGATTCGGTTTCCAGAAGAATGGGTTTTATTCCTCTTCCACTGGCTGTTTTAGTAAGTTGAATCTTTCCTATCAATTTTCTGTCAATTAGGTTTCGCTTTGAGAATATGTGCTTGTGAGATGGCTGGCTCGTTTTGAGGTTTTCAGGATGAAATGATCACGTTAAGTAACTGCAATAATGCTGCAAGTTTGAGTTAGCATTCAATATAACCTATATCACATGCTAATTGTGACTTCACGAATGTGTTACTGTTTATCAGACTTTCGTAGAAAATCAAATGCATATTAATTTTGTAGAATTTATAAGCACTTGAATTGTAGTGTAAACTACATCTATGCTTATTAAACATTTATTCATTTTGGCAATTATCCTGTTCATTCATTTGGAATAGTCAAAGCAGCTGGTTGCCAGAAGGTTAGCAGTAGTGCACTAGGATTTTTAGGTTTTTCATAGAAGTTCTTGTGATAGTCCCTGTAATAGTATGCTTAATAAGTAAGTTTTCTTTTATGTGGGCACTGAGCTTCTGAGCTGTTGTAGAATACATGATTCTGAAATAGTTGACCCTGTTACATGGACATGCTGCTATAAAATGAATCACTTTATTATTGGAATTGTGTCCACATGAGGTCTGTTCTGAATTAACTGTTGCAGAATGTTTTCTGTAAAAAGGTGTTCAGACTTTCCCCATACGCACATGTATACTGGCGGTAGTTGTAATACTGTGAATGTGTCCTTGCTTTGCCAGCAAAGATACTAATCATCGTTTTCCTAGAAGAATGTCAATATGAATTAACTTTTAAATGCAATATTCTCCTGTGGAGATGAGGAAAATAACTATTGACAGGCTTTGCCTAGTTTTTATCTAGGATTTAAAAAATAAACCAAACACAACAACCAAAAACCAGAACAACTATGATCATAATCATGATTTCTTTTATAACTAAGCAAAGTACAGCAGTGAGAATTCAATTGAAATGTTTTTTTCAAGTTGTCTTCTGATATGAATACCAATAGGTTTAAAACAAACTGAAGCTCTTTGCTAACTTGGAACCGTAACTGTGAAATACTGGATTAAAACAGATTTCAGAATTGTTTATTACTGAAACTTGGAATTCATGTGCCTAGTCCACAAAGCAATTTTAAATTCAAAATGTTAGTGTAGTGCAGAACACTGTTTACTGCATCAGTATCTCTTGACATTTTCCTCAAAAATTAACTCAGCTTCCAGCCCTTGACTTTTGGGGAGGTTTTTTTCTCTTGTTATTTTACTTATAAGTCAGTGGCGAAGGAAGCGTTATCAGACTGTAGTTTCGGCAAAGTTGCAACTAGATGCTACTATAATACTTACTCAAACCAAAATCTTGGATAGTTAATGCTACCAAGGGGAACAGTAGAATAAATTTATATTAATGCAAATGTTTTTAGTTTGGTCTTGAATTTGCCAAATAAGAAATGTCTGTTAAAAATACTCCATTAATAATTGTGTGCTATATATTTTAACTTAACTATTCAACTTTTATCCTTAAAACAGCTCATGAGAGTCGTAACAAGCTCAATAAAAGTACAAGGAGTCTTAGGTTATGTTTGTGTTGTGCTGTTCTACTGTGGGTGAGTAAATGGACGCAATTCAAAAGTATTTACCATTATTTGATCAGATACGTGAACAAAGCTTGTGTTGATACTTTTAGGTGTAAGTGTAAACACAGTTTATGTTCAGTAGAACATAAATGTAAAACACTTATGAACTGAAATTGAGAGTGCAGATTGGTCCCGAAGTACTCTAACTGTATTGGGGGATTAGAGACCTCAATAAGTAACTTCAGTAATGAAATTAACTACTGCAAAAATGACTGAAAGAATTTAACAGACAAGCATCATACATGTGCATGAAAGGGGAAATTGAATTCTAAGGGATGAAACTTTCAGTGAAAAGAAGGAAAGATTCAATATGCCAACAAAAATAAGCAGTTTAAGTGCTCTGAGCAGATCATGAATTCTTCTCTCCAGTAGTTTAATGCAAGATTTCTTCGTGTTAGGAAACTTCTATGTGAAAAAAAAAATAAATGCAATGCTCACCTTTCTGGGAAAGGTGGGGTCAGTAAATAATCTTAGTTAAGGAATATAATGTCCTATGGCAATTTGTTTTCCAAAACCGATCCTTTCACTGCCAAGTCAGTTTATAATTGTGTTGTCCTTAACTTCTCACCAGTCAATACGTACTTTTGAGATGTGTTTAGTTGTACATTAAATCCAATCTAGTTTGCGGGTCTTAAGGCATTTGCTGTAGACTATATGAGGATGACCAGTTTCTAGGGAAGCTGCCTACTGAACTGTGTCAGCGTTTTTTGTCTCAGTACTGATTGATATTGGAGTCCTCCTAAAATTGACCATAAAGAATTAGATGATTCAAATTGCTGCAGCACAGAGAGCCTGCCTACAGTATTGTGGGAATATATCTTCCAGTGCCCTACCACGTTGTTTTTGTAACTGAAGGTAGCAAGACTTGGGGAAGTAAAAGACTTCTAGGTCTGGGGCAGTGGTTTAGCAGAACTGGAAGAGAGGAGGCTGCTGTTTTACAATGCCTTATGAAAAGAATGGAATTACTGCATGTTTTCATGGATAGATAAGACTCTTTCCTCTAATCTGACTTTGATCTGAAAAAAAAAAGCTGAACTTGTCCTGAAGTGTCTAGTCCATGTTGGGTGTAGAGGCACCTCCCTTTAGTGTTGGATAACTGGGACTTTGAGATATTGCATATAGACCAAATATTAAAATGTTAGTCATACTTTGATTTCTTCCCCGGTGTACGTGCTGTGCCCTCTCTCTCTCTTCCTAAAGCCAGCTCTATGTCGTTGAAAGCACCAGCCCCTGATCATCACATTCAAGCTGTGGTTTACCAAGCTTAGCACCTTCATTCTGCTCAGTGGTTTTTCCTTTTTCCCAATATATGTAATAT